TTTCTGAGACTCTGCCTCAGCACATGTTTGACATGGACGAACTACAGCGGAGACAAGAATGACAGTTATGTGACAGACAGCGAGGCATGAGCGCTGTCAAAGAAGTTGCTGATGTGGTATATATATAGGGTCTAAGAGTAACGTTCAGCAAACACCTTCAGAGGTGGACATGACTAACAAGTATACTGTATATGCAAATAATATAATGGGTTTACTATTGTCAGCAGAATTAACATTAGATGTGTATCACTACAGTGAAAATAAAAAGGACCATGTGAATTGTGGTTAGTTTAAGTCATCACATACGGCATCCGCTGTATCCAGAGTGTCTCTTATTGTGGTCAGTGTGTGCAGTACTCAAGGCAACTTTATTTGTATCGCGCACTTAAATACAACAGGGCAATTCAAAGTGCTTTACAGGGTAATGGAAATACAGCAAAGGTAAAAGATTTACAATTAAAAAGCGCGAAGGGACAGGCAGGCAATACAAGGGATACAAACTGTAAAAGTTACCTAGGGCAGTTTAAAAGTCGTCAAGACCCAGCAAGCTGAAAAATACATTTTCCCAGTTTAATCTTGTGTCCCTGTGTTAACTGATCATTTATCTCTTGTTATATGCCAAATATATGTCCAATAAATAGTATCAGAATATTTTTTCATGAAAAATACCTTTCAAACCTTTATTTGAGACTCTGGAAATCAGTTGAGGAACATCCTCATTTTCAGTGATGCTGAGCATGAACAAAGACACTAAAAACAATCACTAAGCAAACAAACAACCATCATGCGTACCATTTATAACAGATATGAAATCATACAAGACAACAACAGCAGGAAATGATCACTAAAAGTGGAAATACAGGGTAATAAACATGCTAAGGTGTACTGTAGATGTGTAGTTAAAAGCATTTACACTCAATTAAAACAAGATCAGAAATACGGCATTTAAACAGCCATAAAGTTGACAGAGTGCCCGAGTTTAAGGTCTTTTGCAGATCATTCCATATTCCTGTCTTTTCTCTTTCTATAAAAGGTAGAACTGTTCCAAATGTTCGATGACTCATCTTGCACTGAGGGGTGTTTACAAAAGTTAATCCAATCAAATCAGACTTTGGGCGACTACCTAATCACACTGCCCATATAAAACCGCATTTCACTGTTTGTGTGTTGTAGTACCTAACAGAGCAATATGGAGGGAGAGATAAGAACAGATGTGTGTTTGGATATCAGTGGACAAAACCAAAACAGTGTGGCTGAGGCCTAATTCATTCATCTCTCACTTGTCCTGCTGCCGATCTGACATCGAGGGAGGTGTGTGTGGAGCCACCAGTCCGCTCAGCAGCCCTTTCTGATAGAGCCCCGTATCGTGCTAAATTCTAAGCCTGCCTACTTTTTAGTAGTCCAATCAAATGCAAAGGAAAAGTTTAAATCCCTGTTGCACACAGCTTAAATATTCTGTTTCACTGGGAAATATGACACAGTACAGATGCTAATGATGCTCTAACTTCAGTTTCACTGGGTCTTTGAGACTTAAAAGTGGTCAGAGTTAGGGCTTGTCTAGTAACATGTCGTAGGTCTGTGTTGCATAATAACAAAAAACTGCGTAATGTAACTACCAGGCTAGTCCAAATGTACTCAGGGTTCTAGGAAGTTTGTATGGCACAAGCATATTAGAGATGTATTTGGGTCCAGAGCCACAAAGTAATTTGTAGACGAACAGCAAGACCTTGATGCCAAGTGTCAGAGTGACTGGTAGCCAGTGTGAGGATTTTAGAATTGGTGTGAAACGGTTGTACTTCCTGGTTTTTGTCAGGACCCTGGCAGCGGCATTCTGAATAAGTTAGAGTTGCAGACGAGCTTTTTGTGTTGTTTTTTTATGCCTTTAAGACAATTGTGGTAATCCAGTCTACTGGAAATAAAGCTATGGGTAATCTTCTCTAAGTCCTGCTGTTTTAACATCACTACTCAGATTCTTGTAATATTTTAAGATGGGAATAAGCAGATTATGCAACTGATTTCTTGTGACTATTGAAATTTAAATCCAAGATCCGAGTCCAAGATAGCACCAAAATTTGTGGCTTGACTCCAAGTTATCAGAAACAGGGAGTAACAGGGTCAGATCATCCCAAAATCAAATTATATCTGCAGTGCAAACTAGGAACTAGGAGGACGCCGTTATTGTTTACATCTCATGTTGTCACGAGCCTCTCGTCCCTGAGTAGATGCACGTTTCCTTCTGCGCAGTGATACAGTTGGCAGGTGTAGTTAGGTAGAAAGAAAATAGTTCCTACATGAACTCACAACAAGGTATGTGGATTATCTTGAGTAAATGGGTCATGATTTCTGGGAAGAGACATTGCTGTTGAGTTTTTTAAATGTATTTCAGTGGCGCTTTGAGCACCACAAGCTGGGTGTCATCTAGTTCCATTTTATTGGAGAGAAGGCAGACATCTCTACAGCTGATATCTCAAACACTCCTAAACAATCTAGATTGATAAATAGCACTACAGGTAAGAGGAAAAACATGTATTCTTGACTTTTGGGTGAACTGTCCCATTAAGGTTAGAGCTGTCATTCTGTCTTTGTCTGTGCTCCAGAAACAATTATCTATCTAGTTGGAGAAAATCTTGCTTTATCTAGTCTTTGATTTTTTCCGATGCAGTTACACAAGGATCCAAACTGTCCATAATTATCCAGTGTAAGTGAAATGTAGATTAACTTGTATAATCGACCCTTCACTAAGTCCTGCTTCTGGACACAGACTGGCCAATCATAACGTAGCATCAGGCCGGCTCAGACCAGGGTACAACAGCAACACAGCTGTGCTCCATTGACTCTAATGCCTTCATTTTCAGGCTGGTTTTGTGGATTTGGAGCTAAATGTTGTGCCTGGGGCACGTCGTGTATTAATGATGATACGTTTCTTCCCTGTTCCAAAACCAAAATCAGACCCTGAAAAGTGTAGGGTTAGCTAGCTAGCTACTGAAGATATAGCCTACTGAATGTATACACATGCTGCTTTTGCTTTTTAATGATTGTAACAGTGAAACAAAGACTGACCCTGCTGTACAGGAACCAGTGAAGAGAAGCTTCAAAAACCTTGTCTTGTGTGGCGATCAGCAGTGATGTGGTGGTTCACTTGTACACTGTGATCTGTAGCCTATAGTTCGGCTTTAGCTTCTAACTATCTTTGTCTTTTTTAACCTGTTGTTGCTGCTGAGTCAGTTTGACATCCTGGATATATCCTTCAAACACACACTGTAGACCCCTCTGTCTGCTGCTCTCTGACATCACTCTTTCATTTCTCCAAAAATATGACAATATTTCTTCAGGGAGTGCAGTTAGTGACAGTGTGGGCTCCATGCTTACTGTGACAGCTTGTCGGAACATCACAAAGGGGCGGGGCTTAGCAAAAGGTCAATTATGGTAAGCTACTTTGTTATTTTGTGTAATTTGGTCTGAAGGTAACAACAGTACATTTCTAATAATGGCTGCCACTGTGAGAATTATACAGCCACCCCTGTGGAACAGGCATGCTAGGTTAGCTCATTTAGCTACTTGAATTCAGTTCGTCTTTATTGTACTCCATGATTGCTACAGCTTGAACAAACCAGTTCATTTTATGATACTCTAGGTAATGTTTTTTTTTTAATTTTGGGGGATTTCCGCAGGCTTGTGAAAGCCACATGAGTTAGCACTGACAGGTGGGCGGGTAATGTGTGTGGATAGGGAGCTGAAAACTGACTGAGACCATAAAAACATCAGGGCGCAAATTCACTAAATGCCTAAAGTATGATGGGCACTTTCATGAAGAACACCAAGGATGTTAATCCAGGATGGAAAGTGGTGATGTAAAAGCACATGAGGATTTGTAGAACAACTGAGACTGTGCAAAATGTAACAGATCAGGAGCTGTTGACTGGATGGATTTGATACTTGAGGTACTTAGAGGCTCTAATGCAACGACAACATCACAGAAACACAGTCAGATATACAAAAATAAAATTTAGCAGTTTTGTTTGATCATCACAAAAAGCACTCGGATAGATTATATAAGAAATTCAAACAATAATCCGCACAGCTCAGCCTCCTCTCAGCACTCAGCAGTCACGCAACATGTTTCCATTGTTCTAATGCAGCGATTCCTGTAATGTCCAACTCATACACAGACAGGTAGATAAAAGCTGTGCATCTATCATGATTCTCACTGTATGGAGGTGGTGATCCTCACAGTCCACCCCACAAAAACAGCATATGGGCACGCACATCACGCACAGAGCGTAGTTCAGTGAGTCCCACTGTAGCACCAGTTCCCCATGACTCACGACACATCCGTGTAAAGGGCTTAGCACAAGGTAGGAGGGGATAAGCAGCACCCCTGATGTTTAAGCTGCCTTTGCTTTGAAGCAGATGTGAGCATGTGTGTTCAGTCTCCCTCTCCTCCTCACTCACTCTCCGTTTGTGTGTGCGAGCGCATGCTGGTGTGCTCAAGCACCTCACGAGCGCTAAACCAAACATCACGACTATTAATGTATCCTGATCAGCCCACTGAAAATGAAGCTAATCTGTTACGAGGGAAATGGGGCAGGAATTAGCTCCTTCAATCCACTGCTGGTTCCCTTTTAGCATCTGAGGGATCCCGCCATGTATCTCCATGCATTCTCTAGCTGCATCCCAGCTCACAACAACTAGTGGTTGTGTAGACCGATGCCTGCCGTTTGTCCAGATGACAAATACCGACGTTCATTTACGCAAGTGATGATTAATGTCATACTTGTCACAAAGCCCTGATATACATGAATTGAAATTCCAGCCTGAAAATTGTTTTTAGTGGACTGATTGAACGGGAATTTCAATTCATCTCATTCACTTTTCAGCCAGGAATGATTTAACTGAAATTGAATGTACTGCAACCCAAAGTATCAGGGCTACCTCCATCAAACACTCAGGCAGCACACACGCTTGTATGTTAAGTGTAAATGTGTTTGTTCTTCTCATAGACCATTGTTCGAGGGAACCGCCCACCCAAAGATGCTTCCATCAACGGCCTGCTGGAGGACTTTGACAACATCTCAGTGACGCGCTCCAACTCCCTGCGTAAAGAGAGCCCCCCAGGCCCCCACCAGGCTGGAAGCAGTTCCAAACCCTCCAGCAGTGGTCATCCCAACGCCCCAGAGGAGAATGGATTCAGCCATTACTACTCCCGCTACTCCTGTGACCTAGACACTTCCAGCAGGGACTTCTCTCTTGATCCCAGCAAGCCGAGCTTCTCTATAGATGGGGACTGGGCAGTTGGGAGGCACTATCGATTCACCAAGCAGAATGGTCACTCATACCCCATACGCAGCCCCTTCTACCCGGACGCCATGCCCCAAAAATCAGACTATGGCAAGCTTCCCCCGGACTACCACACCTACTTGGAGAGCAAAGGGCGCTCGGCCGATGAGGTGGCCTCCACGGTGGGGAGCGGTGTGGGCTCCAGTGGCTACTATCGGGCGTCTGTGGGTGGCTCATCCAGCCAAGACTACAGGGACACTTCGGTAGGCACGCCATCTCGTGCCTCGCTACACAGCGAGCAGATCAACTACCCAGACAGTGAGTGGAGCTACGGCGGCCTGCGGGACGAGTACGAAAAGCGGCCCAAGAGTTCCTATGTGACGCAGACCAGCCCCACGCCGGCCATAAGGCAGAGATCTCGGTCAGGCTCTGGGCTGCAGGAGCCAAATGTCCCTTACGCGGCCAGCGGGGCGTTCAAGAACCCTCCACAGGCCCATCCATACAGCTCCTACACCTACCCTCGCCTCTCTGAGAGTCTCGCTAACTCCCAGACCTTAACTAAGGTAATACACCAAACACAAAACTATGTATTCCAGCAACCACTTGTAATAGAAATCTGTTCATCTATGAAAATAGTCGCAACAGAGACTTTGACAGTGTTTACTAGAAACTGCAGAGCACGTTACCAAATGGCCACAGTGCCTGTTTGGGAAGCATGTTTTAACACAGTGCTCCGCACACCCCTGACAGGCCTGTAGAAACATATCAGGGAAAATTACACAGATGTATCCCCATATTGAATCCCACCTCCCGTCCACAGTCCTTTTCCTCTTTCTTTTGGTCTCTATGTCTTTCTCTATAGCCTTATTTCCACCAAACACTTGCGGTATAGTACCCTTAGAAGACGTACATAACCCATACAGACATGTACCTAAACCCTAGATCTGTTCTAGGTGGGGTTTGAGAAGGGATTTGAAGGATGTGATGTTGTCAGACTGTCAAATGTGTGGAGGTAGGGAATTCCAGAGCCTGGGGGCTGTGCAGCTGAAAGCCCTGGCACCCATGGTGCTGAGGCATGAGGTGAGAATGGTCAGGAGACCAGCAGAGGAAGAGCCCAGGGAGCGGGAGGGGGTCAGAAGGTCGAAGGGTAAGTGAGGGCTTTGAAGGTAAGCAGGAGGTTTTTGTCGTCAATTTGGTACTGAACAGGGAGCCAGTGTAGCTAGATGAGAATGGGGATATTGTGGTCAGATGATTTGGTGTGGGTAATGATCGGGGCGGCAGAGTTTTGAGTGATTTGAACCAACAGAGTTGACCAAGACTTCAGCGCTGGACTAAGACAGTGTTGGGCGGAGTCTGGAAATTTTGCTGAAGTGGATGAAAGAAGTCCAGGTTATGTTTTTTATGTGCGTTATGTCTCACACCGTTGGCCCATGTTGGCCCTTGTTGGCTAGTTTTCTGAATCAGCATCAGAGATGGCGGAACCTATCAGTGAATGAAATCACTTATTGGCAGCTCAGCACAGCGCACGATAAGAGAAACAGAAGTGAGAAAAGCAAACAAACAGTGTAAGTCAAGAGGCAGTGAGATCAAAACAATAAAGGTAAGATTATTTGTGATGCGATTGAGCTCTTAACCCTTGTGTTACCCCTGGACATTTTTGTCCATTTTCAAAATTCAAAACTCCCTCACAGACATAATGAAAAGGTCACAGGGGGGTGATTTTTTGCATGTGGGGTGAAATTTCAAAATCCCAACTTTCAGCATGAAAATCCGTTATTTGACCCTGTAATGCATTTTATCCCACAAAAATCACCCCCCTGTGACCTTTTGTTGGACACTTTCTAGAAAATGGACATTTTTGTCCACTTGAAGGGTCATGGATGGGATAAAAATGCGTTACAGGGTCAAATAATGGATTTTCATGCTGAAAGGTGGGATTTTCAGATCCTTTAAATGGCTGCTTCCATCCAATTCTCGCTGTATTTCCTCTTCACCAGCGATACAAAGAATGTCTGCATCTCACTGATCATCCAGAGAACATCCACATCTTTGACAATGAAAACTCAAAATTAACTGTTCTAATGTGTAACAAACTGAACTGATCAGGACTGGTTGTTGGAAACGAGGCTTGTGTTTCTAGTTGTCTCTCTATTCTCACTCTATACATTTTTTTCTGGCCCTCCTGCCAGATAGACTGTGTCAGTTGTTAATCTACTCTTCCCTGGAGGAGGCAGTTGCTGCCACATACAGAATCACCACTGTCTCTGCACACAGATCAATTAATGCTCATGCTGACCAGCGACCAGAAAGCTCTGAATCACAGGAAGAGTTACAGTGACAAGACAAAGAGGAATGTAGGGAACAAAGGAAGAAGTGAGAGGCAGTGACATGGCAGGAAGAAAGTGAAAAAGAAAAGGAAAATACCAGAAGAAGACTAAACCAGAGCAGAACTCATCAGCAATATATTGATATGAATTGTGTAGTTTTGGTAAGATCCAATGATGTGAACCTAAAAGTACAAAAACAATATGAAAAGGGGCAAAGAGCATTAAAAAGAGCATTATTATTATTAAAAAGCAACATTCTAGTCACTAAAGTACACTTAAAGGAGTAATTTACAAGATGATATGGATTTATATAGTTTAAGTTTCTTGGGCATAATGTTCCTGAGGTGTCATGAGCAAAAAAATAATAATGATAACAATGAAAAAGAGAGATGTAAGTTGGACAAACACGTCTTGCTCTTAAGATTTGTGCAGAAGCCTTTCATCTACATTCAAACAACAGAATGATTATTGACTTGGGCTACAATGGAAGGAATCACAGTACTATGAGATGAGATAAAAGTATTGATAAACAAGGTTGTCAACAGATTAAAACATTTGTTTTATTTATTTATGTAAACATTAGTTATTTAATACATTACTTAAAAAATGTATACACAATTATGACATTGTTTATCTCAGCTATCAAGGAAAATCAATAATGGCAATAATTAGGATTATAATTACAACAAATTCCAGAAATGTTTACAGCTATTAAATAGATCATTGATTGTCAAAAAGTTGCTGTTACTCAATGACAATTTTAAGTAGACAACTTTAGGTCAGGTCGAATTTTTTAGAATCGTTATATTTACACAACTGAATGTCATCTGCATAAAAGTATTGTGTTTGCAAATGATGCCAAGATGCTACTTACAGTATTCTACATGTAGAGAACGAAAGTCTTAACCTGTTCCAACCATCACTGTATCCTGGGTGCTCCTAACCAGGGATGTCACCAGCAGATAATGCAGCTCACACCCTCAAGGTGATGAAATAATAAAATTTTAGTGGCCTAAGAAAAAATTGGAAATATAAAAATAGCACTTTGATTGTTGGTAAAATTGCCCAGCAACATGACTTGATGTTAATGGTCTGTTTCCAAGCTTATAGCTTCCCACTGACTATAACACACCTGGGGCCAAATGTATAAGCGATGCATGCATACAAAAATTGTGCACATGCCTTTCCCACATGTAAACTGATATTTATAAAGGAAGAATGTCAGTGAGAATGTGCGCGCCTCACACAGACTTCAGACCAGTGGACTCACAGTCTTAGCCGAGATAGCAGCAGGTGATATGATAGGAGTGAGACTGGATACAAGTTGAAAGACGGCTTACATTGTTTGTAGGTTGTTTACCAATTTCACAATTGTGTTATTATTTTTGCAGTCCGTAGTAATGCAGTAATTTTATTTTCAATAGTGAAGCACTTTGTGAAGTCAGTTTCCACATGTGGGCTATGATTGAGTCATTGGTCACCCTTCTGATGTTTATGGTAATGATAGAGTCTGTATATAGAGACTATAGAGTCTGTAGGCGAACCCCGGAGATCTTGCCTCCGGAAGAAGAGCGGAAGAGCCTTGGTTTCCGGTTGTAGGCTGTGTGTGATATTGACCAATCACGTTTGAGCCGGCTGCAGTTGTTGCCAGGTTAACGGTCCGTGTGGTGAACTAACGAGGCGGAACATAATTGGAGTCACTGCAAACTCTGAATCCATCGCAGTGGTTCAGCATATTTACTTATATATAAACGGAAATCGGAAACGGAAATTCTCCTCCTCCGCCCAAATCAAACTGGAATGCCGAAAAATCGGGGGTCTGCCCCCAGAGGCTGTATCGCCATCTGCCGGAAGTCAGACGCAGAATACAGCCGATGGGTTCCGAGAATGTGGTAATGATGACTGAGATTTAACCATGATGATGGTTTGCAAAAACATAATAAATTATTGGTACAGACTAGGGCTGCCCCCTACAATAATTTTCCTAGTCGCCCAACAGTGATCATTTCCAGCCATCAGTGGACTAGTCGCCTGCATGTTTACAATAATAAGTTAATAATTAAATGATATATTTTGGGCGGGCCAACACAATGGTTTGAGTTGAAGGTGTGAGAAAGAATAGTATCAGTAACATTGTTAACAATGTGCTACATTACAGAGAAATACAAAACCGTACTAATGAACCTTCATTAATATAGGCCTATATTTTATCTCCAAGTGCACGTCACACACTGAGCGAGCCGCCTGTTAATGACGCTGTGGGCTAATGGGCATGTAGCTACTTCCATGTTTCAGATGATACGTCATGTTTGTAGTCGACCAATGAAGATGAGTTTACATATAACGTTGGGTTCGTCCTTCACCTTCTCAAAATGATCCCACACTGTGGCCACTTCCTGTGTCTGTCCTTTCAAATTAAATTCACACATGATCCAGTCATATAGGTTTTGATTTATTTTCACAAGGCGCAACTCCCTAATAGAGTTTCAATTAAAATAATGACCTTTCTGGTCGACTAACGTTTGGTCGACTATTAGAGGGCAGCCCTAATGCAAATGTACATTTAGGGGTGTTTCTACATCCATTTTTGGCAAACTATGGGAGTGGAAATGGGGATGCACCCGGCACCAAAATGATTGAGATACATAAAACAGAAACATTCGCAGGTTCAGCTTTATAAATCTGACAAAAAGACTGTTAATCAGAGAGTTTTATGCATCTGGCCGCTGCACTGTAAGTATGTTTGGCACTGGGGGAGCGTGGTGCAGCCTGTGATGTGCTCCAGTGGAGCAGTGGGAGAGACCGAGATACCCAAGAGATTCTTCCACACGGAGACTCCACAAAAAGAGCAAACAAACCCTCAATGCATTAGTGGCTGTGTGATATAACCATATGTTTCCAGTATAATTTACTCCTGGTGATTCTTTTATACCAGTATTATTATACAGAAGTCTTTTTGCTACAGTAGAAGATATTAGATAAGTTATACAGTGGTAGGGGGCGAACAGTGCTAGTCAGACCAGCAGCAGGGGTTCATCACACAAAGAGTGGTCACTCAATGAGCTGCTGTTCATATCATTTCTTTATATATTCTTTAACTCATTCTCCACAGCTTTCAGTGCCCCATTAGGCCCATTATAGAGGTGTGTGTGCCGCTATCACAGCTCTCCACCATCCCTCCTTCACACGTAGCGAGACCAGGAGCTGAGAGGAAAACTGGGTTTGCTGATGTAGATCCCAGGGTGCCTTGATGAAAAACCATTTAACCTGCATGCTTCAGTAAATAGCCAGTCGTAGAAAAAAAAAAAAAACAGCCATGGAGAATGCAAGAGAAGCAGAATTGGAAGTGATGCAGGGGAAGGTCAGTTTTCTTACATATTGTTTATTATTATGGAGTCGTCGTGCTCGAGGAGGCACATTTGGTTTACTGAGAATGTACAGTATGTGAAGGGAATGTGATGATTTAACAGGATGCAGCCGCGTGCAAAGCTCGTCCAAAAATGTCAGACTCCATCAGATTATATTGTTAATGTTTGATTTGATGTTTTATGTATTGTTTCATCTTAAATCAGATTGAATATAGGCCGTAGTGAAGGGTGGGCTGAGGAATCAGTGCTCCCTAATTTGCCTTGTGATGTTCGGAGATTTTGCAGCAGTGGTAAGAAAAAAGAAAAAACAAGGAGTCATCTGGCAGCTTAAAAATCACTATTCTTCTCGGCTCATGGACCTTGTAACAAACCCACCCCTCTCTCTCGTCTCTCATTCTCTGCCTTTTCTTCTCTGCCCCTCATTCAGCCCACTCACACCACTGAAGTAAATCCCTCTTTTTCCCTGCCGTTGTTGGGAGCCGGTGGGGATGTAACAGTAGACAGCACGGAGACTTGGCCACACACAAACACACACACACTCCTTCTCTATCTTTCTCCCCCTCTCTCTTCCCTTTCTCTCTCTGTTTCGTGGCGAGTGCGAGCTCAGTGCCGCAGCTCTCGGTGACAAATTGATGTTGCGGCACTTTCCCTTTCTGCAGCCTTAGCATAAAACTGGCCGAACGATGTTCCACCGAGGAATTCAATTTCACAGTTGAGTTAGGTTGTTGATTACCCTGCCAAACTCAGATTAATGCGCGTTTAACCAACATGGATCAGGAGACCCCTGGCTGACAGCCAGCCAACGGTGCCGGCCAACGATAGGGGGCCGCGAGACTGGGCCGTCCCAGCAGCACCTCCCCCCCCTCCACCTGCCTGAAAGTGATTGATTAAAAGAGTTCACACCATGTAATTATACACCATCCCAACACATCAGGGCTCCTCCTCCTGCCCCGTGTGTGTGTGTATGTGTGTGTGTCTTTGTGTAAGTGTAAAGAGAAAGAGTGATAGGCGCAGAGAGAGAAACAAATAAAAGGAAAGAGAAAGAGGGAGTTTTTTATTATCGTCTCAGCCTCTTGAGAATTTATGAGATGCTGGCGGGAGAACATTTTTGGGAGGTGTGGAAAAGGTAATTTAATTTAATCTCCGCAGGGGGAAGTTGGCTTAATCCATGACTGTCTGCAGTCCACACCGGACTATTGATATTTGGCCATTACACTGTCACCTGTTTTTACTTTACTGAATAAATTCTATCAAAGTAACTTACTTTTCTTATATGCATGCTGTAGCACAGTGATACTCGCCTTTCATCTGGCCTCACGACAGAGGGCTGGGTGGCCCACTGACCATTTTCTGATTTATCATAAACAATAGATTGATTTGCACTCAGAAGTTCTAAGGTGTCAGAGTGCATTAAATGCATCAAAACAAAGTTTGTTTATTAGAAAAAAGTACCCGAGGTGGATCCCCAAGGTCCGGGCAACACATTCTCACTCCCAACTTGTCAGCTGTTGATGCTGTGTCAGTGGTTTGTCACATCAAAATATAATGAGCTAGGTACCCTTCTCCATTAGTTTGGGACGCTAAGGGACAGCGTGTGAGTTTGCACGTGTTACATACATTGTGTATCTCTAAAATAAACTTTCGTTTTCACAGGAAATACACAGTTTCAGCTCGTTAAATGCATGCAGTCTTTTTCAAAATAAACTTAGAACATAGTTTTAGCTTTATTTCCGTAGGTCTAGGCAACAAAGAACGTGGTTAGGTGTGAATATACATAACGTCACTAGCACAGTATGCTACACATACTAGCACTCTACATATACATAGGTATTAAAAAAACTCGACTGACTTTTGGTTTCACATGGGACACAAACAGCGAACTCACAGGTGAAAGACCGCAGTTTGTTTGACACACCCACATTGTGCACACTTTCTCGCTCTTTATACTACAGTAGTTGCCCACAGTGTCAGCAAACGCCATCTTGGGCGTCTCATGCCACCACTGAAGGGTGCCTCTGTGGGTCGGTGTCTGACACAGATGGGCCACTGACCAAACGCTGGTATTTGGCGAATTGGGAGTGAGACCAGTTTGGTCCGAGCTAAGCCCCAAAGTTCCTCAAGTACTAGAAACTCCCCTGTGTATACCTGACTGCTGCGACTGGTCTCTTGAGTTAGGACATCAAATGCTGAAAGGTTGACAACAGTTAATTTATTATACATACACTGATAAATATGCCCCCTCGCAATCCCTAACAGGATAAGTGGTTACGGAAAATGCATAAATGAATGATAGATATTATTGTTTGTTTATTAACTGTCCCCTGGCCCCCCGTGTAAAGCAAGTTGAGTATCCCTACTGCAGCCTTTTAATTCCTCTGCTAGTCTTAATGTGACCGATTGTTTTACAGCAGCTGAACATGCAGAACTGAGTGCAAATTTCTTTTTATATTCCTTTCCGATATAGTATAACATAGTACAGAGAAGACTATAAAGTACTGAGTTATGAAACAACTTCTAGTTTGTTCATTTGTAGTTTGAGATTCTCCTCAAGGTTTGTGTGTATGTGTGCAAGCGTTTATGTGTGTACGTCAGACCTATTATGAGTCAGACCAGTTCAGCTGAGTCATACAACTGAGCTTTTAATAGTTCTCTCTGAGTAAAGCTCTGCTACACTCTTATTGTGTGTGTGTGTGTGTGTGTGTGTGTGTGTGTGTGTACCAGTATTCATGCTCCAGCGCTGCTTTTAAAGGAGACTCAGGTGTTTCTAGGATCGTAAGGAAGAGGCGTGTCCCAGATCCAGATGCTCCCTGGGCTCCTGGTTGATAAATGGAGTATTTGAGGAGCATTGTGGGGTGTTAATGATAAAGTATGGTCCCTGTCCTGTGGACTAAATGTTTGGTCTGTCCGGGGCTAATGTACCTGCAGACATACCTGGAAATAGAGCTGCATTTACAATTTACACTGATGCACCCGACACGGTAACATCTCTCTTTAATCTATGCTATGCCAGTGTATACAGTACACACACCTCTTTAAATTTTAATCCATCAATCAAACATCCTTGTGCTCTCTTCTCCAGGCTGACTACGAGCGCCCTGCACGTGACAGCAGTCCCCAGGTTACAGGTGGAGACACCTACCCTCGAGGGCCTCTTAAGCAGCCTCAGAGCCACATGAAGCCACCTGGCTACCCCCCAGCACACCTGCCCTACCCACCTGTCTTTCACCATTACAAACCTTCACCCTACCACCACCCTCCCTCCCAGCCCAGCCCTCCATACACCCCCCAGGTACAGTATGTTCACTCTGTTCTCTTATACAGATTATGATAGACATTTGATAGATACTCCAGTTGGTTTAATGTAATTTGAATGGGATAAGTCCATATTAAACTTGTTGCATCTGGTTTGTAAACATTTACATCTATTTTCGCTAATTTTTTAGGTCATTTTCTTTTTCGGTGCTCGTTGGAGAAGCAGGCAGGAGTATCGCCACAGACACTAAGCAATGTACTGCTGTGAATGGGGAAAGCAGCAAAATATATTTTAGCTACCTAAAAAAATCAACATCAGTTTAAGTGTATGCTATATTTAAGAAACTTTTACAGCTTTACCTTGTCAGATTGACCTTTTCCCACAAGGAATTGAAGCTGTTATCTGTGCTCTGTTGAAAGCCACCAGATTGTTTGTTAAAAACAGTAATTTTACCTCACGGAACACAGAAGTTGCTGGCCTGTCTATAGCTGCCTCAATCAGTTAGTTTGTCTGTGTTATTGCATGACAATGGTGTTTTTAAGGGTTGGTTCAGATTCACTAAACTGAATATCACGAACTATCCAAACTAGCAGCTCCCATGTCCTGTTAGGTAGAAGTCTAGTGGCTTTGAAGAGAGGACAGATGGATATAACAGCTTCAATTCCCCGACAGAAAGAGCTGTGTGACTGCAAGATAAAAATATTTTGAAGATGGAGTACATTTAAACTGATAGTGATTTTTTTATATGAGTAAAATATGTTTTTCTGCTGCCCCCATCCATGGCACTACATAGCTCAGCCTGCCTCTCTAAACTGCTGGTGTGCTGATTGCTATCCACTGTGAATTGTCTGAACATTGCATTAAAGCAAAGCTGAAACAAGACCTGAAGAGCCGACGTGTTGGGTTTGCATTACAGCCCTGTTTCCGCCAAAAGCTTTCGGTATGGTACCTTTGACCAAAGTAACCCTTCAGACATGGTACCTAGACCCTGTCCACCGCAAATGGCACTCTTAAATGTGGGCAGGGTTGTCACTCACTGCTGTGTTTCCTCCTTTATCAGTCTGCACCTGGTTTATCGTCCACAGAACGAGGCTGCATGCCAGCATCTTCAGAACAAAACAGAACAGGCTGCAGTGAGAGTCTCTCTCCATGGGATATTTAAAAATAGCAGATTTGTGCATTTAGTCCTTCTCAGGCAAGCTCAGGGGTTTAGTGTTGCTGTAGCCCACAGGAACAACACTCCACTATGCTTTCTTTTTTCTCCAAGTGAGGATTAGAATATATGCAGTTCACATAATCCGGTCGAATTAATATATATTTTTAAACGCCTGAAGATCCACTCATTACTGAAAGCGTATGTCATCTAAGAGAGACAAAAGTCATCAACTCATGCATTGAGTAACAT